TAATGGATACACGAGCCTACAGTTTCATACCTCAGAGCATAGCCTAAGTGATGATCGGTCAAGGCTAACTACATAAAATGCCGTAATGGATACAGGAGGCTACTGTTTCATACCGCTGAGCACAGCCTGAGTGCTGATCAGTCAAGGCTAACTACATAAAATACCGTAATGGATACACGAGGCTACTGTTTCATACCACTGAGCATGACCTGAGTGCATGCCAGTTCAACTCTGCTGGTAGCAAGTACACATATAAAAGCCTTGGTTCATCCACACTATAAAATATCCATACTGGGGCGGTATGAAAAATTGATAACTACATGTTGGCTCTGCTAGAATGCAAATATTTTTGATATGCACTACTGTCATTTCTGTGTGATTCCTTTGCATGGCGTTTATTTTATGGTGTCCAGGAGAGTTGCAGGAGGACACGCTGATTTCTCTATCCAAGTGCCCTTCCTTCTGCACCCTCCCTTATATGCATGGAAACCTGTTTCCTGTCAGTAACAGTGGGTTCTCATTCATTGTTATTACAGGAATTGGTCCAACTGTGAGCCACTTGCATGAAGCATATCCTCCTTGCAGCTTACTGCTGCAGAAAAGCTTCTCCTTACAGAGCCTTCAACAACCCAGGTCTGGGAAAGTGCGACAAAAACAGCAGAAAAAAGGGGATATTGAAAAAGATTCAATTGTTAGTGACATTGAAAATGAGGAAAAGATGGATACAAGCAATGACACATCTGCAGAAAGTGTAGACCCACCGCCACCAGAAAATATAGACCCACCACCATCAGAAAGTAGGGAGCAATCACTACCAGAAATGCAGGGGATAATTGTAAGCCATGCCCTTGTACATGACAGTACTTCTGACGATGATGATGGTTCATACATGTCCTCACCATCCCCACCACCTCCAGTAGATTCCTCATCAGGGAGTGAAATAGGTGGTTTTTCATCTGAAGATGAAGAGATGGCACGGTTAAGATTACGTAACCACAATGCCAAATTTATAGAAAACACCCGGAAAACAGTATATACTGAACCAGCACACTACTCTGAAGACGACAGTAGTAGGATAGATGATGATGGATGGAGTACAATGCTAAAAAACGCCATACACAGCCCTTCACTGGTAACACACCTGGACCAAGCATTGATTTGGGTGAGGGTGCAAAACCCATTGATGGTTTCTATTCCATCTTTCCAAGATCTCTGGTGAAAAGATTATGGAAAGAAACCAACAGTTATGCAACCTGGTGCATCACTAAGAATGGAGGGAATAGATTCTGGTCTCCAGCTAGCAGTGAAGAAATAAGTGCACTGATTGGAATAATTGCCATCATGGGTGTTGATTCAAAACCAGAGATAGCAGACTACTGGTCCACCTACCAAGCTATAAGAAATGACTACATTGCCAATGTTATGAGCCGCAACAGATACCAAAAACTGATGCAGTATTTTCACTGTAACAACCCAGAAACTGACCCAATGAATATAGTCAATGATGAAGAACGCAGAGAAAGGAGAAAAGAAGCGCCTCTGTATAAAGTACAGCCAGTACTGGATGCTGTCTTCACCAATTCCCGGGAATATTACAACATGCATCGCCAGGTTAGCATAGATGAATCTATTGTTGGCTACAAGGGTCGTTATGGAGGAGTACCTACAGTTTTTATCCAGGGAAAACCCCATGCTAAGGGATTCAAAATATATGCCTTGGCTGATAGCAAATCAGGCTACAACTACAGGATTGAGATCATGTCAATGACTGGTAGTCATGAGAAGTATAGAAGGGATGTGTCCAGAACAAGAGATCTGTGTGAAAGGCTTATCGTTAACATTAGGGGATGCCATCATGTCCTGTACACTGACAGTTATTATACCAGTGTAGACATGGTGAGTTACCTGCTAGAAAATCATGAAATATATGTGGTTGGCAGCGTTAGGCAAGATAGAGTGGGATTCCCAAATGCCCTCCGTACCAACCTCAAGAAAAATTCAAATCACAAGGCAATAACAAATTTAGAGAGGGGACAGTTTGTATCCAGACAAAAGGATACAGTGGTGGCTATATCATGGAATTACTCCAACCTCCTGAATATACTGACAACATACTATGAGGGCTATAGAACCGAGAATCAAAGAGTTACCCGTTTTCTGCTCTCACCAGATACTGGCAGGAAAGTAGCATACTCTCTACCTTCCCCAGAAGCAATTTATGACTACAATCTGTACATGGGTGGAGTTGACAAGTCAAACCAACTCAGGTCCTATTATACAGCCCAGCGTCAGTCAAAGAAATGGTGGAAGTATATCTTTTTCTACCTTCTGGATACTGCTATATGCAACAGCTGGATCCTGTACAAAGAATCCAAAGATGGATCCAAAGAAAATGCACAAAGCCTTCCAAATTGAAGTTGGCATGGCACTGGTTGGTGGTTTTTCATCCCGAAAGCAGCATACCAGAAATTCTGAACCTGTGATCAGCTCATTCAAAAACCACCATTTAGTACATAGTCAGTGCTCCCGTGGCTCATCCCACAGATGGTGCATTCAGTTAGGGAGAAAAAAAGGAAAGGTTGCGCTGTATCGACTGTGTTCAGATGTCAGGAGTGTAGCATCAACCTATGCAAGGGCTGTTTTCTGCCCTACCACCATGTGGCCACAGGTTGCCCAGACAGACCCAAGACAACACAGACTAGTGAAAATGATCTTCAAGAGTCCAGAAAAAGATCATGGCAGGAGAGATGGTACAGCAGTCAGAGGTGGTAGAGGAGGCGGCAGAGTTGGAACAAGGGGAAGAAGAAGAGGAGGAATCAGAAAAGTCTGAAGAACAGATTATTGGGCCCCAGGGTGGAGGGTCTTGATAGGAGACTGAGAAGACATGTACATGACATGTAAGCTTACCATGTTTTTTTTTTATTATTGCAGCATAGAAGATAAAGCCTCAGAATACAAGATATATATCACTACTATACACAATTATACGTTTGTAGAGCCCCTGCAGTACTGTGTTTTGCAGGTAATTAGATGTCATAATGTAGAGCCAAACCAAAAATATATGCATTCTGTCAGAGCCATTGTAAAGCTACTTAGACATGGGGCAGGCAAATATGATATATTTGTAGTATCAGTTATCTGAAAGTTGTCCCATGGCAGTTACAGCCAGCCAAACAGCATAGTTTAGTAGTTGGTGAAAACCCCTATGGTATTCACGGTCAGCCAAGTAGTTTATTTAAGTAGTTGTCAAGCACTCACAGCTACCCAAGCTGTAATTTATGGTAGTACAGGCTATCCAGATGTAGCACTACAGTAGTTAGGGGCAACCAAGTGTAATTTTCCTGCAGTATCAGATTACCACAGGTAATTAAAAAGC